TTAACACCTGAACACTCACTTTTAAGTCAATGAGTGACATAAAAACTGATACGAAAGCTGTGAAAGAGATATGCACAGAAAAAAACGAAAGGTAAAGAAGACAAAATTGTTGGGCTCGTTACTCAAAATGTTTTATTTATTAATCGTTACTAGTTAATCCTTTCAAAGGTAATAGCATTACTTTACTGATTACTTTCTGGCAACAGTAATTAGTTACACTACTAGTTACATTACTTTCCCGCCCCACATAAGTTATGTATCTTTTCCCATAAAACTATTTTAAAATGTTACTAACAATATATTTCTGCCTCATCATTTGACCAAAATCCACACTTGATCAGAGTCAGAAGTTATTACAAATGCTCATTTGTAATTTCTCGGTTACCCATTATATTTCATGATGTATTTTATCAAAAGAAATAACAGAAGTTCATAAGAAAATGTTTCATTTTCAAAAAAGATTTTATACAATTTATAAGCCATGTAAAACCGGAGTACAGTAATGCCACAACTTACCCATCAGTGTTCAGATCATCTTTTCTCCTGACAAAATCAATGTGATGGCAATATTTCCATCCACTGAATGCACGCTTTTCCATATTCCAAGCAAGCTTGGTGACTTAATGTGCCTCTGCAAGTCATGAAAATTATGAAAATAAATCCAGAAATTGTTGGACTTTCAACCAGTAGTGGTTGAGGCATCAAAGGTAACTAAGAAAGGAGCTGTTTTATGGATGGAAACTGTAATACTATTACCGAAAACTTATTAGTAATTAGTTACACTACTAGTTACTGCAAAATGTAATATTATTAGTTACTGTTACTAGTAACTAGTTGCTGCCTAACACTGGAAGACAAACTGATTAATGTTGGTGTGTAGGTGGAATTTTTGTGTTTCTGGAATTCCAGAAAGGACCAATGAGAACATTAATGTGTGATGGAAATATGAGAAGCTGTGAATATAATAATATATTATGTGTCAGGCAGTCATTCATGCAATGAATCCAGAACCTTACAAAGCCCTCAAAAGCTGAATTCAGTCATTACTAGAGAATTAATCATGTTATTCGCGTTAGAATACTGGCCCAAATAATTAGTTATTCTTTCTGAAGAACTTGGTAATAGTCATAACTAGTGGGTTACCATGATTTTAGAATTAATTATGCATTATTCATATTAATTATCAATCTGTAGACAGTAGAACTTAGTAGTTCTTGGGGAGGTATGAAAAAACAGTAGTTACTGATCAGCTGCACTTTTAACTAAGCACTACTAACTAATTCATTAATTAGAGTTTCTTGTTAGATTGCTAGAGTGCTTATATTGCATTACTCATGTGTTCTTGTGTAGTTATTCATTAATGATGGAACGGTATGTATCATAAATACTGCCCATCCCTGCTTACACATAGACAACTAAACTACAAACAAGTGGGATTTATCAGTAGGCCTAACCAAGGAAACACAGAGAACACAAACACAAAGAGACACAACACGATCCAGACATTGTCTGTCTAGAAGATGTAGATATTACAAGCATAAGAATGGTTGTGCGTTT